CTTAGAGGCCAAGATGACCAAACTTCGTCTCTCATACTTTGGACATATTCTCAGGAGGGAGCATGTTTGGTAAGGTGGAAGGTCAGAGGAAAAGAGGAAGACCGCCAATGAGATGGATTGGCCAAGTGGCAGTATCGATGGACTCAAGCATGGCAACAGTGAGGTTGGCCCAAGATCGGGCAGTGTTTCATTGTGTTGTGCATAATGTCACTATGGGTCGGTACCGACTTGATGGCACCTAACAACAACAGTCTCTAGAGAAGGATATCATGTTTAGTGAAGTGGAGGGTCGGAGATAAAGACAAAGGCCCCCAACGAGATGGATTGGCACAGTGGCAGCAGCAGTGGACTCAAATGTGGCAAGGATTGCGAGGCTTGCGCAGGAACAGGCAGTGTTTCGTTCTGTCGTGCTGAGTTGGTACTGACTTGATGGCACCTAACCAGACAACAACAAAGAAAACTCTGTAGGGTTCCCAGGACTGATGGTGAGAACTCACAGAAAGACAGATTTGAGAGGGGATCAGACATTTTTGGAGAAGTTGTGGTTCAGTTTCAAGACAGTAGAGTTCCCCAGTGTAGCTAGTGCAGAGGTGACATCTTTAGTTGCTAGGCAAGCAGTAGGCTACCCTGTGAAGGCAGGGAGCCATCAGGAGCCCGTGTGTGGGTGTGCAGTGGGAGCCCAGGCATCAGTAGGGGCAGAGACCTTTGAAGTACTGGTGAGGAGACAAGTGCAAGACGACCGCAGAAAGCACGTCTGCTCAGTGTTGACCCTGTGGACCAGGGGGTGGGTTGCTGCTGAGTTGGTTCCAGCTCATAGCGACCCTGTATAGGGTGTCTGAGGCTGTAAATCTTTGTGGGAACACAAAGCCTCTGATTTTCTCCTGTGGAGCTGCTGGTGGGCTCAAACTGCTGACCTTGCAGTTAGCAGCCCAACAAGTAACTCATTACGCCACCAGGACTAGAGGTGACCAGAAAGCTTGCTGAGAGAGTCTGATGATCAGGAATTTGCTTGCAGACTTTGGGCCTCTGGTTTCTGAATGGAGAGAACAGTAGCAAGGCTAAGATTGCAAGGTTGCAGGGTAGACAGTTCTGTGGCTGGGACAGCTCAGCTCTGGATGGTCTCATGTTCACATCACTGACATTTGCTTCCACCAGAAATTGCAGGAAGCCTCTTACTCCTTGAGGTTCTTCCATATCCCTTTGGTGATGGAAGCTCACTGTAAAGGAGAAATGCTTAAGGAAATCTATGATTTATCATACAGAATACAGTAAAACCTACAAAAGCCAGAAACTGTGTGAGGCAGAAATTTATCAGAGAAGGAATGTTCAAATATTTCCCATTAACAGAGACCAATAGAAAAATGTGAAGACTGCATCCTGTCAAAGGCGGAAACCTTGTGAGACCAGGAAGAACAAGGCAGTCTCATTGAGTTCCAACTCTTACAGGTTTCATTGTATATTGAAGAGCACATTGGAAACTGAGAGACAATAAATTAATAGCAGACACACTCCTGAGATTGCAAGCATGGGACTATAAATGACCTACAAAACAAGTCGAGAATTTCAGTTTTTATAATGGGAAATCCTGTATTAACTATATATGTTGTTGTTAAGTGCCGTTGAGTCTGTTCCAACCCATAGTGACCCTGAACAGGGTTTCCGAGGCTGTAAATCTTTACGGGAGCAGAAAGACTCACCTTTCTCCTGTGGTACAGCTAGTAGTTTCGAACTGCTGACCTTGCGGTTCGCAGCCCAATTCTAACCACTACACTACGAGAGCGCCTTATTAGCTATATAAGGAATTGCAAATCTGGTATAAACAATTCATACATATTTGTTGACTGCAAATACTGTGTAAACAATTCAGAAGGGTATAAAATATAAGTGAAAGTCCTTTATTCACACATTTACCAGAGACATATTGGTCTTTTCTTCCAGATTGCCTGGAAACAAATAAACGTTAACACAAGAAAGGATACCAAGAGGCCTCTTTTTTTTTTTTTTTTAATCCATAAAGGAATTAATATATCTTTCAAAGTCAATATGCTCTTGTGTGTGTGCAGTTGGTTCTGACTCTTAACCCTGTATAGGATTTTCTTTATAGGAGTAGAAGGTGTCATCTTTCTCCCACAGAGCAACTGGTGGATTTGAAATGCTACCTGGAGGTTGACAATCCAACCACCAGGACTCCTGTACAGGTTTCCTAATTAAAAAAATTAAGGTACAACATGGTTTGATTTGGTGTGATACCCCTTCCTCGATGCAGTATTATTTGGAATTAACTTCCTCCCTTTTCCTCTCCTCCAGGTTCTTACTTCACTTGCACATGTTAAATGTAGGGTTCTTCCGAAGTGGGCAACTCTAGCGGGTTCCCTGCTCCTTTCTCCAGACGCCGGCTGGGGAACTCGCTTTAGGTCTAGGAGTCCTGGAGCCGCTGCCCTCCCAGCTCCTCCCCGGCCCGCACCCCTGCCCCCACCCGAGTCCGAAATCTCCCCGCCAGCTCCGCCCCTGTCGGATTCCACTCTCCGGGCGCCCCTCTACAGACTCGGAAGCACGCACAATCTGTTTGGCCCCTCCCCCCGGCTCCGCCCACAGCAAAGTTACGCTACTCGCCCCGCCTCAATTTAGCGCACTTCGTTCTTGGCCACACCCAAAATGAACCTTCGCTGTCCGCTCATTGGCTTCATTGTTTGAAGTATGCACCCGCCTCCTCCGCCTCCGCTCACCCTGTTCTATCCTGCTTGCGGCCGGAATTGCGCTACTTGCGACCGTCCTGACGACCGCTCACCCCGCCCTGCACTCCGCCCATCCCGCCCGGCTCCACCACTGAGAAACTGCCCCGACAGTTCCGGACTCCGCCCTCTCAGTTCCCGTCTACGCGCACTGCGATCTAGCCCCGCCCGCTCACATGGACCCCGCCCACCCGGCCTCAGTTGCGTGCTTCATGAACGTGCAGTTCCCTCCGCACGCTGGCTCCTCCCCTCGGAACCCCTCGGAGCCTTCTGGTTGGTCCAGTTGGTCTGCTAGAATCCGGGGCTGTGACTGCGTTCCGGCCACTCGCCATGGAAAGGGATGGCCCTGCCGCTGCTGCTTTCTCCTGGTACCAGCCGGCCAGCCTTCCGCGGGACGCCTGTGTCTACAGCAGCTGCTACTGGTGAGGGGCGTGGGCACAGACCCCCGAGAATCTCCTAGTCTCGCTGGGCCGTGGCGTAGCGCTGCAACCAGACCTGTTGGTTCCTGTTCCTTCTGCGGGGCGCTCGGCGCCTAGTTGGCGGGTTTTCCTATTTCAGGGAGGTGGGCGCGGGATGGCAGCGCTTGCCGCTGTAGTCAACGGTGGATCGTTGGATGGGGAGATGGGTGCGAATATTGGTGTTGATGGTGAAGCAGTACTTCTGACTGGCTCTTTTCGGTTGGACTTAGGCAGATCCTAGAGGGAAGGGGAGTTGGAGGCGGAGGGTGAAAGAACCATTCTAAATTATTTTGCTGAATCTTGTATGTTTTCAGATTGATGTGAAGGCCCTTTTAATTTGGGAAGAAAATAGAGGCACAGAGTTTAAATGAACTCTCCCAAGACCACCCAGCTAGTAGCAACCAAGAATCCAGATCAGGCCTTCTGGAAGCTGTGCGTACAGTCATCCTAATTTCACTTAATACGACTGCTCTTGCTACATGCCAGGCATCGCTCTGGGCTGTTTATGTCCGTTAACTCAATAAAACAAACCGTTGTCTTCAAGTTGACTCTCATTCACTGTGTATGAGCAGTACTGTGCTCCAGGGCTTTCAAAGACTGATTTTTCACAAGTAGATCGAGGTATTGTTTTTACCCCCATTAAAAAAATTAGGGCACTGACGTTCAGGCCCAAATCTACAATCAGTTTATTCTACTTTATAGAGTTTCTGAAGCTGTAAATCTTTACAGAAGCCAACTGCCACATCCTTCTCTTCGGGAGCTGCTGGTGGGTCTGAAGTGCGGAGTAGTTAAGTGCTTTCCAAGTGCTTTCAAATGTAAAGCAAACTCTATTAATAGGGTTTCTGAAACTGTGTATCTTTGCGGGAGCATCCAGATTAATCTCTCCTGAGGAATGGCTGGTGGCTTGAACTGCTTACCTTATGGGTCACTGTTGGCATCAGTCTTTCCCTGGGTCTAGAGGTTCTCAGTGCAAGGATACCAGGTCCAAAGGACATGCTCAGCTCCTGGTCCTTCTTTCTCATTCCTCTCTTTTCTCTCTTGTAAGATAAAAGGTGTTACAGGCCACACTCTAGGGAAACTCCCCGTACATTGGATCAGGCCTTGACCTGAGAGGTGGTTGGTGATGATGTGCCGTGGAGTCCATTCCCACTCATAGTGACTCTGTACAGGGTTTCCAAGGTTGTAAATCTTTAAGGGAGCAAAAAGCCTCATCTTTCTCTGTAGAAAGGCTGGTAGTTTCGAACTGCCAACCTTGAGGTTAGCAGCCCGATTCGTAACCACTATGCTACAAGAGCGCCTTCTTGACCTGAGTAGTAGTTGTTGTTGTTGTTATGTGCTGTGGAGTTGGTTCCGACTCATAGCGACAGGATTTCTGAGGCTGTAAATCTTTACGGCAGCAGAAAGCCTTGGTGTTATATTCCACCTTAATCACCTTACAACTGACTGATTACATCAGATCACACAATAGGGGGATAATGACATCATTATATAACTCCCAAACCAGTGAAAATCATGGCCCAGTCAAGTTGTTGTTGTTTGGTGCCGTCCAGTCGGTTGCGACTCATAGTGACCTTATGCACAAAAGAAGAAAGACTACCTGGGCCTGAGACATCTTCACAATTGTTATGCTTCAGCCTATTGCAGCTGCCACAGTGTCAGTGTGTCTTGGGGGTCTTCCTCATTTTCTTTGACCTTCAACTTTACCAATCATGATGTCCTTCTCTAGAAACTAGTTCCTCCTGACAGTGTGTCCACTACGTATGAGAGAAGAAGGCTCACCCTCCTGGCCTCCAAGAAGCATTCTGGTTGTACTTCTTCCAACACAGATTTGTTTGTTCTTCTGGTAGTCCATGGTACTTTTAATATTCTTCTCCAACACCATAACTCAAATGCATTAATTTTTCTATGATTTTCCTTATGCATTATTCTACTTTTACAAACATATGAGAGTGGCCCAGGGACGGGCAGTGCTTTGTTCTGTTGTGCCTAGGGCCATTATGAGTCGGTTTTTTACCAACTCGATAGCACCTAACAACAGCAAATGAGGCTATTGATAATACCATGGCTTGGCTCAGGCACACCTTAGTCCTCCAACTGATTTCTTTACTCTTCAACACTTTAAAGAGGTCTTGTGCAGCAGATTTGCCTAATGCAATATGTCATTTGATTTCTTCACTGCTGCTGCCATGAGTGTTGATACTGGATCCGAGCAAAACAAAGTCTTTGACAACTTCAGTCTTTTCATGGCCCAGCCAAGTAGACACATAATTTTGGGTGACGCAGTTCAATCCAGGGCAGAGAGTGCCTCAGATATTATTTTATATCAGGATATTTAAGGAATACCTTGCTTAAGAACAGAGACCTGAAGAAAAGGCAGTAAGGAACTATCTAGAGGGAGATCCCACCAGGCATCAGAAGAGCAGGTGTGGACACTCTGAGGAGTACGTGTGCCTGAGCATTCTAGAACCGCTTAGGAAGCTGGTGTGGTAGGAGTGGAGGGATCTGGTAGAAGAGGGTGAGGAGCTGAACGTGGTAGCAGTTGATTGTCTCATTTTGTTCCTTCAGCTGGAAGCCAGACCCTTCTCAGCTGTCATGGAGACTGGTCCGTTAGCTAGTTTCTAGCAGGCCTCTGTGCCCGCCTCTTCCCCATCCAGCTGTCTTTTTAGTCTCTGGTGGCTTCACACTGCTCAGAGCGGTTCTAAGTTTGAATGTGCCCAAGAATCACCCTGGAGGTTTAAAAACATGTGGATCTTAGAACCCCACCACAGAAAGTCGAGTGTTAAGAAGCACTTGGAGGAGTTGAGGCTGTTGGGTCCATTGTCCACATCTCGAGGAATACAGGCATAGATGGTAAAGTCAGCCTTCTGAGCACAGTAGGCTCCCCAGGAGCTGGTCATCTGATCATTGTCTGTTCCTTCAACCTCATTTGAACCTGACTTTCTCCTCTGCTCCAGGGTTTCTCACCTGTGGCATCATTGCCAGTTTGGGCTGATAGTTCTTTGTTATGGGGCTGGCCAAGGAACATTCTAGGAGCTCTGGTAGCGTAGTGGTTACGAATTGGGCTGTGAACCACAAGGTCAGCAGCTGGAAACTGTCACCTGTTCTGCAGGAGAAAGATAAGGCTTTCTGCTCCCGTAAAGATTTACAACCTCGGAAACCCTGTACAGGGTCGCTGTGAGTTGGAACCGACACCATGACACATAACAACCACCACAAAGGAGCATTCTGGCTACGTCTTTCTTCAGGATGGATTTGTTTGTTCTTCTGGCAGTTCATGGTAATTACAGTATTCCTTGCCAACACCGTAATTCAAATCAATTTGGGTCTTCCTTAGTTGCCTAGTTTTCACATGCATTTGAGGTGATTGAAAAATATCATGGCTGTGTCAGGTATATGGCGTTAGTTATCTAGTACCACTATAGCAGAAAGACCACAAGTGGATGACTTTTACAAGCACAAATTTATTCTCTCAAAGTTTGTTGTTAGATTAAACTTGTCAAGGGCTTCATTTTTCTTATAGCTATAATCAGTACTCATGGAAGGAGCAGTCAAGAAACCAAATCAAATAGATTGCATTGGACAAATCTGCAAAAGACCACTTTAAAAATTTAAAGTATAAAGATACCACTTTAAGGACTAAGATGCACTTGACTCAAGCCATGATATTTTCAATCATCTCTGTACATGTGAAAGCTAGACTATGAATAAGGACAACCAAAGAAGAATTGATGCCTTTTAAGTATGGTTTTAGCAAAGAATAGTGAATATACCATGGACAGCCAGAAGAGCAAACAGGTCTGTCCTGAAAGAAATATAGTCAGAATGCTCCTTAGGCGTGAAGATGGCGAGACTTCAGCTCATGTACTTTGAACATATTATCAGGAGGGACCAGTCCTTGGAGAAGGACGGAAGTCTTGGTAAAGTGGAGGGGTAGGGGAAAAAAAAAAAAGTTTCTTGTTGTTAAGTGCCATTGAGTCGATTCCAACTCATAGTAATCCTGTATAGGGTTTCCAAGGAGTGGCTGGTGAGTTTGAACTGCCGACATTGTGGTTCAGACTGACCTTGCGGTCCAGTGCTTTATTCCACAGTGCCACACCAGGATTTAGAAGACTAAAAAGTCCAAATTCAGAGTGTCAGCCATAAGCAAAGGCTTTCTTTTTTTCTAGAGGAAGGTCCTTGTCTCCTTTCAGCATCCATAGCCCCAGCATTCCTTGGAGATCTCCATGGGTCTTAGCATCAAACTTTCTTTGGACCTAGGAACATCAAAGCAAAGCCTTAGACTTGAAGGCCCTCATCTCTAGTTCTGTGGGTCAGAGAGCCTAACCCCGCCGATCAGTGCCCAGTGGCACCCCACTCCAGCCGGAAACCACCTTCACAAAGTGCTCAGCTCTCTCTCTCCATGGGTCAGCTCCTGTGCTATCTGGTGTGTCTCCTGATTCTGCTGCTGTAGTTTTTCTGCCGCTTTTCACCATCTCTGCTGTCTCTGGTATTAATAGTTCTCTTCACTTCTGAGCCCTTACCAGAATTGTCTTTGACATCCATAATTCCACCAACAGTTTCTTTTAGGCAGTCGTGAGTTGTTGTTGTTGTTGTTAAGTGCTGTTGAGTAAGTTCCAACTCATAGCGACCCTGTGTAGAGTTTCCAAGAAGTGGTTGGTGGATTTCAACTGCCAACCTTGGGGTTAGCAGCCCAGTGCTTATCCTGTAGCCCCACACCGGAACTCCTCTAGGCAATCTAGGCATTTACTATAGGCAGCTTATTCTTTTCCAGCCTCTGTTCATTATCCAAGTCTCAAACGGCTTTCCCAGTTTGAGTATCTGTTTGAAGCAGCACCCCGCTCTCCTGGTACCAAATTCTGTCTCAGTTCTCTAGTGCTGCTCTAATGGAAACACCACAAGTGGATGACTTACAAACAGAAATGTATTCTGCCACAATTTCGGAGCTTGAAAGTTCAAATTCCGAG